GACCCTCACCCCCTCCTGCAGCCCCTGCCGCAGCCCGACCACCGGCAGTACCAACGGAAGGGCTGGGGAGGCCACTTGCCACTCAAGGCCACGTGCGGGCCAGCCCTCGGTGGTGGAGCCCGAGGTGGCACGGGACCCGCCGGCTGTGCGGGTGGCGGAGGGCTACGCAGTGCCTGTGGTCCAGCACCGCCGCCACCACCCGCCCTAGCGTGCTCGCCGACGGGCCCCGCCTGGGCTCCGGTGGTGGCCGAGGTGGCGCTGGTGGAAGCTCGCACAAAAGGTCCTCAGCCCTCGGCCGTCGTCGGCGCCCCTGCCCGCCCTGCTGTTGACGGGGACCTTCTGTGCCGCGGGAGCCCAGACCCGTGGCGGGGGGGCGGGGGGCGGAATGCTGTGACCAGATGGGCTGTGTGCAGGCCCCACGCATTGCAGCCACGGGGGGCTCCACACCGACCACAACCTGGAACTCGCTCAGCCACAGGACCCCGCGGCCCCAACAAGTCCCCCCTGCCTCTGCTGGCCCCTGGGGGCCTGGTCCCTGTGCTCCCTCATGACACCCTGGCCCCTGGCCCCAAAGGCCCTGTTCCAGGCTGCAGGTGTGAACACCCTGGGGTGCCCGTGCTTACCCAGCAGGGACCGAAGGATGGCTCTGCCCTCGGCTGCGGTCCAAGGCCCCGCAAAAACGCGGACACCAGCGGCTTCACATACGTCGCAGCTCGCTGTGACGTCCGCTTGCTGTCTGAGCACATTCAGACTGTGCAGACGCACAGCCACTTCAGAACAGCTTCACCCCAGAAGGACCCCCGTGCCCACAGCGGCCGCTCCGCAGCCCCCGCCAGCCCACTTTCCACCCGCGTTGGTCCTGTGCATTTCGTGCGAGTGGAACCGTACGTGACCTGCTGTGACCGGCTCTTCGCCCGCTCACCTGTGCTGTGGCGTGTCAGGCTGCCACCCCTCAGCAACAGCTTTGTCTCAGGGGGTGTGTGTCCCACGTCGGTTTAGCTGTGTCACCTCACGGGCGTCGGGCTGTCCCCACATTCCGGCCAGCGTGGCCAGTGCTGCCGCGAACGTGTGCACAGGTTTCCCGGACGAGCACATCTCTGCACACCCAGGAGTGGGAGTGCTGGGTCACAGGACCAACGGGGAGCCGCACGTTTCCACAGCAGCTGCACCTCACGCTCCCCGCCCGAATGCACCCTGCGCCCCACAGCCTGCCCCGTGAGCCCCGTGAGCCGAGGTGTCTGTGGATTCCACCCTCACAGATGACAGCAAGTCGTCCCGGCCCCGGGAGCAGAGGGGCACAGGGCATCGCCCGCAGCCGTCTGCTCTCATGCCGAACCAGACCCACGAGACCCACACGCTCAGGATTCACATGACTTTATTCTAACAAAAGTCAGACAGAGACGAGCAGCCTGAAGAAGAAACGGCGTTCACGTCCACCGCTGCAGACGGTTACACAAGCGTCAGCGTGGAGGGCTGCATGGCGCCCGGAGGCAGAGGACAGGTGGGACCAGACACGGCTGACGTCAGCACATACCACGGCCGGACCAGGCTTCACTGAACTCGGCACTGAGCCAGGCTGCTTGGCACACACTCTGGCCAGTGGCCACTGTGGCGGTGACACTGGCCCTCTAGGCTGCCGACAGCACCTCAGGAACGCAGGAAACGCACCCAGCCTTCGCCCTGACGTCAAATGCCCGGCCCAGGTGACCCCCTTAGATGCGCGGGAAGCTGGAGGACGCTGGGGCCTGGGCACAAGGGCCCCTCTGGGGCACGACCCCTCTGTGGACACGTTAATCAGTGCTGAAATGCCCTGGTGTCCACACAAATGACTAAGCCCTACGGGGAGTGAGGCTCTCACCATGGCAACTACGGGGCCGTGATCACGGCCACAGGGTAAAGAGCAAAGTCTGCGGGTCACTAAAGCTACCACGTCGGCCCCAAGAAGCCGCCCCCTCCACCCCCGCCAGTCCATGTGGCAGGGGACACGGGCCTGGCAGGGGACACGGGCCTCGCCGGGCCCCTCCCTGGAGCACCAGGTGTGGGCCCAGCGCGCATCAGATGCCGGCCGGCGTGGCGTGCCTGCGGCTCTGAGGGTGGCCAGGCCCAGCGTCCACCGTGTCCGCGCTCCAGAGGCGAGGTGCTCTGGAGGGACATGGCCCAGGCGCAGGGTGCT